ACTCACTTTGACCTTACAGACGGTCCATTTTCGTTGTTGTTGTTGTTGTTTTTTTTATCACATAAATTTGAATAACTAACTTTTCCCCGAGAATTTTCATATTACTCACCATATAAATATTCTACCGTTTTAAAATATTTTGTAATTCTTTCATTTCATTACCATTTTCTTAATTCCTATTGATGAGTACATTTCTGATATTATGATATAGACTATGTAAATTGGTTTCTGTTGATTATTACTGTTATGTTTAGATTGCATACAACTGATAAGTAGTCAAGATATAAAATAAGTTCAGGTTGTTCTGCTACGTTTGTTGTTGATCTATTTAAATTTATCAGATGGAAAAGTCTTATGAAAAAATTGTGGTGGACCAAAAAGTATGATAACCGAAAACTAGCAACAAAAATATTACGTCTAAGGTTTATGTAACAATTAACAGTGAATTAGTTAATTACACACAGATAAAAATAAGGGACGTTACTTAATTCTTCAGGCTATTGCGCGTTCAGTTGACTATGGTCCAGATAATCCACAATTATAATAGATTAGTAATCCCAATATGGACGATATAGATCCAGTAGGTTTACCAAGCGTAAAATTCAATGAGAATGTCACGATTGTCTATAAACGGAGATGGTATGCAATTAATATTTCATTTAACATATTAGCAGACACGGCAGAACGATGCAGATGTGAGTTAGAGTGTATTTATTGAGGAGCAGTAACACTGTCGCGATATGTTGTACTCAAAAACGGAAGGAAGTCAAAATACAAGTGTTCAAAGTAATACACATAAACAATAAGTACAATTGTTTAATGCTAAAATGTACAGAGCATGAAAATACACAAAATACATGCAAAAACTATAAAAAATTATTTACAAAATAGGTTTTATAGTCCTATCTCCACATAATATTTTCATTGAATCTGGGTCTCAGACCAAATGAGTTAAATGATAATAAACAATAATCTTTAAGCTTCATATCATTTAAATGATGACATTTAATTAGCTTTGTATGCTATTACCTAATCACCCCTAACATCATTGTGTTCATGCTTGTAATATATATTTTCTGGATGTTACGCTTTTTAATTTAAAATTTTTCCAAAGATATTTAACAAAGTTTGAGAACAAATATTTTTCAGATTTAGTTAGTATGATGTATATATTTACGAATTATATTGTTGCGTCGTGCTCGTTCGGCGAGGTATCCAATTCTGTTGTGGCGTAAATCTGATTTCGTCTATACTCGTATATAATAAATGACTTTATCCGCTTTAGTGAATAACGGAGTTAAATAAGTCAAATACGAGAATGGATTTAGAATACATATAATTTCTACACTCATTGGTCTGGCCAGGGAATCAGAGTGATGAAGCGAACAGATGAGAGCGGAACGAAGCAAAGATCATGCGCAATGGAGATGGCTGGGAAACCAACTCGATATGAGCAAGCATTACTCAATATTTATAATCAGGCAAAAGTGAATGACAGACATTTGATGAATAGGATACGAAGAGTGCACATATATGCTCATATAAAAGTATAGTCAATGTTAATAAGCTAATGATTAACAAGATCAAAATATGACTCATAATAGATAGGCGAATTGGCTTGGCCAGCAACTAGAATAAAGTATATGGGCTTAACATATAAACTGATACTACAATATGCCTTTGATGTAATTAACAGCCTGTGTTGTTAAGTGAGGTAAAACTTATATCTCGTTTTTCACGTTGATTGGTCAATGAATGGAACGCCTTACCCGAAAAAGTGCTATCAGTCCCATCATTGAACATTTTCAAGGAGAAGCTGAGCCTTTACTGTAAGACAATCTGTCAGGGTTGACATAGGTTCACCAACCTACTATCCTTATTACTGAAGACTGAACCATTTTAAATTAAGTGTGACATCACCAAGGCCTCTTATGAGTGATAGCCTTTAGTTCTCGAAAGTAACTACTAATTCTGTATTAATGAATACTTTGGTTATGATGGGAATATGAGAAAACAGTAGAGTAACAGCGATTTTATCAAAATATTTTTTTGGTTCTCAGGGTTGATTAAAGTACACACTAAATACGTTTCATTTAGGAAAGAAACTATTTGCATGGAGCATTGATTGTGAAAATGAAATTACGAATAAAATCGTAAATGTAGAAAATGAAATAATCATTATCATATGGGTTTCTCTAATTAATTAATGGAATATAAGTATCCTGCATTTATATTTGGAAAATTGAATGAGCCCGGTAGGAGGTTCCATCGAAATCATAAATGTAACTATCTGGCACATGAGAAAAATCCCCGGATATAAAAGTTGTCTGATGCAAAGTTTGGTATTACCAAATCTATGTTTTAGATATTGTCACACGTTTTAGGTCCTTATTTGTTTCAAGGAATTCGGAAACGCGAAGTCGGATAATAAATATTGGACAAAGTCCCTCAACCCATAACTTTTTCCATAAAATATGACTTGTATCGACATTGCTGACATAAATTTTGTACTCTTGTAATGAGGTCTTAGAAATTATTGGTGATCATCGACCTACGTCTGACGCCCACTCGTCAAATGTTGTAGTTGAAGAAAATTCCCCCCAAAAATGAAGAAGAATCGAAACTGCAATAGGTCATTACTGTCGTTTCCTTTTCACAACCCGTGTAACACGTGTTTAATAACCTCCGTACATGTCTCTTTCCATGTACTCCCGCAAGTCATAAGTATGGCTTCACTATTTTCACCCAGATGACGTCTTCCAGAAGATATACATACTAGTGACCAATATGACTTACAAATACATATAATTCTTGATGCAATGCTTCATAGTGCTGGTGACACGACTGTCATACAAACTACTTCCGAAGAGTTTAACGTCAGAAAACTTAACGTCGGTGAAAAGGTTTGTGAAAATAATCTGGTTAGGTGTAATCACACCGAACCATTCAGCACAATTACTAGATGGTTTGTATATGTGACACAGTTTTTCATTGCTTTTGAGTATGGAAACTTGGCTCATAACATCACTTTTCGAGTGCTTTACACTCAAAGACTCAACTTATCAGAAATCAACTAGGTTGGTTCTCCTAACACAAACAGATATGCGAAGTACAGTAAATTCAACTCAACATTTCATTTAACTAAAATAATTATATTTGTGGTGGATTCCAGCAAAAGAGCTTGTTTAAAATATAACAATACGCAGAATCACCAATGGTATACCAAAGGGAACTAGCACCACAAACCTAAATGTCTATGTATGAGCAAAGCAAAAGGCAACAAGTTACAGTTACAATATTATTAATACACTAAATGACAAAATGATGACAGTTGTTGCGAAATGAATGTTACTTGTAAGCTGCTCTCTGAGATAACAACCATAAATAAGTTCACTTGATTAACAAGGGTTCCTATGTACGTGGTGGCACCAATGGCGTAATGAGAAAGATGAAATCCGGTAGCATTATTCAATAATAATCCGTGTCAAAACCCCAACGTAGTGTAGAATGGCCTAAAAGGATGTTATAACACCATTATGATCTTCAATCAAAGGCCGTGGTCAATAAAGCAGAAGAACGGAAAGTGGAGATAGCGTTTATTCTTAGTAATCGTGGTGGTGTGTGTGTATAACCAAACAATTATATCCGTTTCTTTACTATTGACACAGAGAAACAATAGATATTAAATATAAACGTGATGATATATAAAGTGTGTCCTTACGAAAATCATTGAGTATACATGTCACAGCACATTCACTCATTTCTCAGATCCATATGGCAGTTATTACTCAAGAAAGACCGAGTGAAGATAAACAAGTAACTCTTTCAGGCTTCATGTATGTTTAATTAGCGTTTTCTTTCATCGTAGGCTATGAAGAATGTAGGAACAGGAAAAAAGGGAAGTTGTAACGGTTTATCAATTTCTGCACTGAATCACATCCAAGAAATAAAATACTTGGACTTTACATGACATCTATTATTTCAGATGTTTCTTCACTCAAACGACATAAGCATTCGAATATACTCTATCCATGCAGTCGCAATGAATGAATAAATGAAAAACTGAACTCATACTCTATCGGATGAGTGTTTACACGCCTCACCTATATTATACCATCGGACAACTTTCTGAAACGCTTGACTGTGTGAACATATGGCTATATAGTCAGTAATATTAGGATCTGTGTTAGATGATCATGTAATAGATCATTTACATTTTAGTTGTGTTTACGACTCATGAAAATCTGTGATATATAATGACAGATTAAGGTCACACTACGTAAATGTGTGGTAGTGAATACATAGATCTTACTATCACCAATGAATACATACAAACATATAGAAACTGGATGACAGGTCTTTATGATTGAGGAGAAAATGTGCAAGCTGCAATCAGTTTCATTGTGAATAAACCTAAAATAATCTGACAAATAAATGCACCACAAATAAGAAATTCACTTATTTTTGATTACTTCATTGTCATACGCTTACAACCTAACATGAATTAGAGAAGAAGTATGAGTAATCTCATTTTCTCACATTACATCTATCTCGATTTGTCAACTGTATGAAAAATCCTCAGACAATAATATCTTATTGTTTGCTCAGTTCTGCACTTATTCTAAATAACATTGCACCTGCTGCCCATTTCAACGTGAGGCTTACCATCTATGTCGTTCCCAATCTTCAAGCTTACTTGTATTGTGTATTTTCGACATCACTTGCATTTAAGATTAATAAGATTAAGTCAAACGTAGAAAAATTATTTTATCCCACCATCATCGTCACGATTCGTTTTGAAAATTTCTATCTATATAACCGTTAATTACTTGTCAGATATTGTTCACTGATAAAACAAGTTTTCACATTGTAATCGTCTGGATTTCCAGAGAAAATACAAATGTTAAATTAATACAAGCCAACTTCATGATATCTCAAATACTTAGTACTAAGTGATATAGGAAGGAACATTGGTCAAAGGGAAGCTTGGATTAAAAAAGTTTGTTTATTTCATGACATCTAATAAAATTTCAAGTCAATATCTGCGACTTCTCGAATTTTTCGAACCGAGACCAACAGCAAGTCCGAGACCGAACAGTGCAGCCGCTCCCAAAACTACACCCCCTACAACAGCCAAGCCTGTCATACAACCTACAATCAAAAAGAATAAAAACTAATTAACTAATCGGCTGAACTGTCGTATCAAAATGAACAGAATTCTAGATCAACTATTAAAGTACATTCATTAATATGTAAACGTGGATATTGCGAGTAAATGAATTTCCTGGATATGTCAAGCTCAGGTCATCCAGGACTTAGTTTTACAACATGAGTTTAACAAAAAGTTTAAATACCGTCTATAACATGTTCGGCTTCTTGTTTTGATGATCTTATTTTCGATTTGCCATCACAACACGGGAGTGATAATTGGTGAAGACCTCCAACGATATTTTTGATTCCTTCGTCTTCTTTTAACGTCTCCTCTCCCAACTCGTCATCATAGTAGGAGAGCGATGAAGGCCATTTCTGTAAAAAATTTGTAAGATTAATTTTTCTAAATATTAGTTTCAGCTACACGAACCTTGAATGTCTTTGGTTGAAAAGGTAAAATACTTCACTTTCTTGATTCGATAGTGTTATCTCAGCACTTGACTGAGCCTTAACTTTACCATAGTGTGAATCGATTTCAGCAATTTTGTCAGACACACTTGTCTCGATACTGTCTTATGATGTGTTCATTGATAATTTGGGTGCATGTCACTTAAAGGCTTTGGTACCTCACCTAATATCCTACTAAAATATCGGTCGATTAATCGAACGACATAGCCATTGTCTTAAGCTCTCATATGAATGGAAACCATAACAGATACATCGGATATCCATCTCCACATGAAAACTCATGGTTAACATACCAAAGCAAATTTTACTTCATATCTAGGGTACAAAGCATGGGTATCATCTAATGACCTACTTTGAGAAGTCCAATATAATTTCGACTAGATTGTCTAGAGCAACGTTGATGGTGCAGAATCTGCAATTATAATATGATTATTATATATTCGGAACTCATATGTTGTGATAGTATTAGTCTACTTATCACAGACCGTTAGTTGACGCAATGGAATTGAATTCTATGTACTTAAACACTATTTTATGTTTTAGGGAATCATGTTTACGATCCTGTTACAACAATAACATTGTGAAGCTAATACTATCAAGAAAGAAACTCACCTTTTCAAAGCACTTGCGACACATTTCTGCAACTTTCTAAAGAACCACAACTGACTGATTATTTATAGTTTACTCTGTCGCTTATGTGTGCATGTAAGTTTTCATCAACAACTTGTCGTCTCAAGCTAATCCAGATGGATCAGTTATAGTTGACATCATTATCACGGCACGTATTATCCCTTACCACCCTTTTTTCGATAATTAATGATGTGAAAAAAATTTAGCAATTGGTGATTGGTGAACTTGTTTTTGAAAGTGTGTGCTCAAGTGAAAATGAACAAACATTTTGTCACCTGTAATAATTTTTTAATTGGTTGTAAATGGTGCAACTTTGTGATCTGATTCGTGCAAATTGTACTAGAATAAAGTGCTTTCATTGGATGTATGAATTGACATTTTTACATCGGATTATTATTTACAATAATGAACTAATTTCGCATTGTTCCATCTTAGTTTTGTAAAAAAATTTAACTTCGAAAAAAACAAAAACAAATCCATTTCATTACCCTGCTATACTCCTGTTAGTGAATGTATATCGGGATAATTTCTTTTTATGAAGTAGGAATGCAACTAAAATTATCAGTTATCGTGACAAGAGTAATAATAATGCGTAGATCATTGAAAGTTAATTTTTGAAAAAAACTGACAGCTGTTATTAATAATTGATAATGGTGATTATTGAATTTCAAAAAAAGTAGTCAAATGTTTAATACACCATTAGTAAACACATTTTCATTTAAGTATTCCCATAAGTTATTTTAACACATAGTTTGCTCTTTTAATTAACGTTATATTCGTGTAAATATATGAATAAATCATGATGAAGAGATAGTGAATGGGGCATGCCGAAGTCACGTTAACCGTAAAAGATGGGTAAATGAAGCAACTTTTACGCTATCTGAAAATAGTAATAATGTCTGGGAAAAAAAGCAAATAATCTTTATAATTCAGTTATTTTGCAAACCGTTATTCTTAATACAAAAACGTTGTTCAGTTTAGCTTTGAAAAGGGTGTCTAAATGAACTCAAGATTGTAATCAAGGTTTTTTGTAAATCAATTGAAAGCATCAAATATTTTGACCTGTACAATCTTTGTAGTTGATCACTTATTAATGATCACCGAAAGTACACGTTAGTGTACTCAGTCATGTAATACGGTAATTGTATTTGTGAGGTGGGAATAACATTTTTTTGGCACGTAATGTTAACCACAAATGTTTTTTAAGTGCACAGCCTTTCAAAATCATGATCTGCATTTTTTATTGTCATTTGTAAATAAATCAGAGGGGGTTTTGTGGAGAATTTAGTATTTTCGTAGTTGAAATCATAGGTCAATTGAAGCTAGACCACCATCGAAAACCTGGAAACATTGTAAACGTTATTTATTTAGAAAGTCTGGAATTATGTTTTCAAACCAACAGTTCCCTTTGTTAAACAGTAGACGAACAATGAAAAACTGTATGTACATTTTTCGTCGAAAATGAATATTACTGTTTTACTGTCAAACACTAAATAGCTAAACGTTAAAAAAATTAACCATTTTTGACAAGCATATGTAATAATGGTTGAATTAAGTGCCAATGAACAAAGCCTATGTCTAGCGAAATAAATTTCTATCTCAATTATATGACTTAATGTGAATAAGGTCAATTGTATCAATTAATCATCATGTATTTACAAAATCGAATTTCAATCTCATAAGTTAAACCGTACAATTATTTATCAGACGTCAAAATGACATTTATCGCTGTATCGAGTGTTTCAATACTGTGATAAATCTAATAAGAAACATTACATTTCGTATGTTCCATTGTTAGACGTGTCAATGTTCATTAGATGAAGTGGTTTTCTGTACGAAATCCTTTACTGAAACCTTAAATTTGAACAACCTGAAAAGCCGTTGACTAAATAATAAAGTGAGCGATGATAACTTTATTACTATTAATCTAGAAAAAATGATTTTACAGCTTCATTACTATGGAATTGTAATGACTGATCAGTTTCTGTTCACTTGACCTTCCCAATAGAAATTATCTTGTTGTATTAGTGAAATGATCTTAGTACATTTGTCTACTAAACCTATTAAACAAATCATAGGAATGTAAAATGAATTTTTGATAGTCTCATGACTCCACCTTCGCCATGGAAACAAGAAATTCAAAAGAAATTAAATCAAATTGTGGGTGGCCTTGAAAAGGGCCTTCACCTGGTCTCTTCACAGGTCCTGATCAATGACTCCGATATTAGTCCGCGACAGCACCGCACATGGGACAATGGAACCCGGATGATACTTCTGATGGGTCGTAGGCACATAACGAATGAAACATAGCATTGCATGGACAAACAAATCCAAGCACCTCCATTAGCTAGTTCACTGGGCGGCTGACGTAGATGGCAAATATCACACTGTCGGTTATTGTGCGCACGTTCATCTTCCTTATTGTCTCGCTCCGTAAACTCTTCGGAGTTCATAGACAGTACCTCATTCTCGTTATCACTTAAGGTTGCATCCAAATCTACGTTCTCTTGGTGGTTAGTGCCTGAGGTATTTCGGACGATGGGCATTGTCAAGGTAGTAGAAGGTAATAGTGATAATAGGATTCTGTTAAACATGATAACACGTCAACTCAGAGTTCGCTTTGATCATGTAATTAACGAAAATATCTAAGGTTATATGAAACCAACTAAGTCTATCTATAGGAAACCCTAGTGAAGTGGCCAACTATCAAGTTTCCACAGCTAGGGTCCCAATTAGTCGAAAGCGAAACTTAATCATATCACTGCGTATCCGCGATCTCAAACGAGGCACTCTCTGAATTAAAATGATGTTTTAATACCTTTGTTTATTTTGCCTCACTGTTACCATGTTTAACAGAATTCTATCATCACTATTATTGTAATTATTGTCATCTTGAAAAACAAGTCTATACGTTTGCGATCGTACATCTTTGAAAATGAATTGACCGAAAATAGAACGTTTCGCTGAACCAATCTTTTTTATTTTATGTTTCAATGGGTATATTTGTTATAGAATACTCCTCAACAATGTGGTTTTTTCCAGTTTTCTATGAGTAATATTGTGAACGATAATTTAATTCGATTGTAAAACAATGGTATCCAAGTGTCTGAATTCTTGTTACAGACGGCCTAATTTTAACAACAAACATTATTCACTTGACGTTAATCTTAACACAATGGTATCTATGTGTCTGAATTCTCTTCATAAACTGTTGATTTTCTATGGTAAACATCATTCACTTGACATTAGTCAGTGAGTTCATAATGTCTGTACTGAATGAAAACTTCTACAAATATAAATTACTTGGTGAAGAAATTAAACTGATATTTAAGGAAATGTAACGTAATTTTTTAATTCATACAGCTTGACTACATTATTACCCATAATAATAATAATAATAATAATAATAATAATAATAATAATAATAATAACTGTAATAATACAAAAAAGCCATATTCGTAAAGAGAATCAAATTGCATGAAATATGACAAAAACATGATATCATGTAGAGACAATGCTTTGCAGTATTATATTCCATCCGATTGATAATATTACCCTGTGTTTTTTCATATTAGACATCAACTCACCTTGAAAGCGAACAAAGCACAGTCCCTTATAGAACCATTCAACAAACTGATTAAATGATCTTCGACAAACATTACTTACTTACGCCTGTCACCCCTCGTGGAGGAGCATAAGCCACTCACCAGCATTCTCCATCCAACCCTATCCTGGGCAATACTTTCCAGTTCTTTCCACTCGCTAACCATCCTTTTCATATCTGCTTCTATTTCCCGGCGAGATGTGTTCTTTGGGCTTCCTCCTTTCCGCTTCCCTTCTGGATTACAAATTAGGGCATGTTTCACGATGCAGTTTTGTTATTTCCTCAAAGCATGTCCTATCCACTTCCAATGTCGTTTCCTAATTTCCTCTTCAGCTGGAAGCTGGTTTGTCTTCTCCCATAAAATGATGTTGCTGATGGTATCCAGCCAGTGAATGTTGAGTATTTTGCGTAGACAACTGTTTATAAATACTTGTACCTTCGTGACGATGGATGTAGTAGTTCTCCGTGTTTCAGCTCCGTACAGTAGAACTAACTGTCTTGACGTTCGTATTGAAGATTCTCACTTTGAAGTTAGTTGACAGTTGTTTTGAGTTCCATATGTCCTTTCTTTGCCAATCCTCGCCTTTACATCTGCATCAGATCCTCCTCGTTCATCAATGATGCTTCCCAGGTAAGTGAAAAATTCCACTTCCTCCAGAGTTTCTCCATCAAGTGTGACTGGGTTGGTGTTCTCCGTGTTGTATTTGTGAATCTTGCATTTTCCTTTGTGTATGTATGTATGAACTATTTGGTTCTCTGTGGCGTGGTCCGGTGAGATACATGTAGCTTTGTGTATACGTTTGTACGGAAATATTGTGCCGCCTATAAAAAATTTGTTGAATGCACATATATTTCAAAATCTCTCCCCATTTCCATTTCTCTCTCACTGTCAGTGTCGTCCTATTATATCTTCATATACTGTGCTGTCCACTCCGACTTTATTATTTAGATCTCCCATCAGGATGGTGAAGTCATTTCTTGGGCACTTCTCTATGACTGATTGAAGCCTCGAGTAGAACTGATCTTTAATGTCGTCGTTGCTATCATTGGTGGGTGCATAGCATTGGATAACATTCATTGTGATCCCCACCTTCTTTGTTTTGAATGATGCTTGGACTATCCTGGATTCGTGAGATTCCCATCCTACCAGTGCATTTCGTGCTTCTCTAGACAGCATTGGTGCAACTCCGTGAGTGTGTGGAGCATTTTCCTCTTCGTGACCAGAGTACAGCAGCATCTCTCCTGTACTTTGTAGTTGGCGTCGAGTCGCAATTGACTATGATCACCACTAAAGTAAGATTACGCGCCCGAAATCGAATTGGTTCCTTTGATAGCTCGTAAACGAGAAAGCTGTAATTAGTCCAGATAAAGTATATTTATTGGCGATCTCATGGTATCGAAAGAACACCGAGACGTGCCAACGAGTATAGGCAATAAGGGCAGAGCGTAAGAAAGTTCGAGCGAACAAGACGGACGATCGAATGAAAAGTGATTTTGATACAGTTAAACAACAACGAGTACAGTAAAACAATAACTGGTACAATTGGTTATAATAATAATTGTTTCCATTATACCAATCGCGTTCTCGTCGAGAAAA